GACATAGGTGTTTTGGGTTATATCGGCATACTTTAACATAAGGAACACCCTTCCGAAGTTTGGCACATTCCTCCTGGGACACCCTGTATATATATATATAATACTTTAATATATATTATTCAATGCATATAATTTAAAAGACTGAAATAAAATATATGCTTCATACCTGGAAAGCAGGAACATAACTTCTCATACCGAAGTTGGAGTTTTGAAATGGCCACTCTAGGGTCATTTCCAAGGATGTCATAGAACTATAATTTGTTTTGATGACTGCCAATGCTGAAAATCAAGTCTCATGCAGGTAGGATGTTGTGAGAGGAAAAAAAAAAAAGATGTTCAACGCTTTCCTACCGCGGTGAGGGAACTCCCCTCCTATGCCCACCTAAAATTCTATGTATGACTTCCTAGGAAACAACTTTCAAAGAAGTATCAGATGTAATATCAATATAGTTTTCTTATTCTTCAAGAGAAATGTCTTTGTTTTGGAGTGAATCGGCATGGAGTGGATCTTTGATCCATTTGTATTTATCACTTACTGCTTCTGGAAAATAATTAGAAAATCTGAACTGTAGATTAACTAAGTGCTCTCTGATACACTGATCAATTCCAGTGTCACTTGTTTCCACACTGTTCTACATCAAAAAAATCCTCCCAACAAGGAAACATGTTCAGACTTTCCTTTCTAGTTTTCTGACCCATAAGTTAAACTTTCCAGTAAATGCCTTAATGCCTTCACTTCATCAGTCACTACAATAATGTTAGCATTGTTCTTTTTGCATACTTGCATTCAGTGTGTTGAATTTCTTAAAAATAACGCACACTAACTTAGAAACCAAATGTTCTGCATGGACTACGATTTTAAACTTCTAAAATCAGTGTTACTCCTCGCAAGTTGTAAACATGAGACACAACATTTCCTTGCATAATTCTGCAAGAAGTCTGCTTTTCAATGGACAAGTCTTTACATAGTTCAGAGTTTTGATCACTGTATCCATCATTTCCTCCATTCTGGGCATAATTCCTTCATAGACAGTGATTCATAATGTATCATACAGAGTGTCCACAAAGCTTCTGGTGGTGATCATTTAATTAAAATCTGCAGTCCTTTATTTCACACCATTATGCATACTCCAACACAATCTGACCATCCTTTTTTATTTTTTCATTCATGAAATAATCAAAATTTTGAAGAGTTCTTTTCCTGTTGTTGTTCTTTGTTTTACAGGTTTGTAGAAAAATATGTCTTCATTGACTGTTGTATATTCAACATATCACATGTAAGCTATCAAGTGACCAATACCACCACAGTCAATCTACTTAAAAACCTTCGTTTCTCAACTTCTCTATCATCTGTTCTTCTAAGTCTTCTGATATATCAGCAGTCTGTCAGGAGACTGTATTCTTTGACAGTATTATTTTACAAAGCTGTTAAGCATTGTTTGTACCAAGTCTGTCACAGCAAGGAGAACTGCAGTTTCAGCAGTCATGTGTGGCTTCTTGTTCTATGCTATTCTGCATGACACATGATGAGATGCTAACAGGGCTTAGATGACAAAGTAAAGTATTAAAAAAATTGCTGCATGCATATTTTATCAAGCTTTCTATGAAATTATTCTTTGGGCTTGTTTTTCATTTATGAATGTTTTATTTCAAAGTACCGCTCCAGTTTATTCTGCTTCATACTGTCAGCTGCCAAGATAGTGAGATAAAACACACTGAGGTTGTTCTTCACTCTTAATTATAACA